CTCTCTTGTTTATTTTGGTTCTTGAAATACTGAATAGAGACGTAGCCAGATCTCTGAGGTTAAAGAAAATTTATTAGGAGTGAACATGCTGGTGCTACCTGGGTGTAGCTGACTGGAGACACATCATTCATTTCACCCTTGACCCTGGTCTTCCCCCACTCCCTGGGTGTATCATAATTCATAATATCCAATGGGACACATTTTGACAACTGATGCAGCATTTAAACAATGGCAAAAGGATGTATCTAAATTTGTTTGGCAGGGAAAGGCCATGAGTTAAATATAAGGTGCTACAATTTGATTTGAGAATGGCTTGGGATGCAAGTAAAACTTTTATTTTATAAAACATAACACCAGAAGAAGAGGCAAAAGAAAACTCAAAATATTTTGGATGAGATCAAAAGAAAAGATTAAAGAAATTTACAGAGAAGATAAATCCCTCTTAACAAATTAAGCTTTTACAGCAACAGCTATCTATGTTATTAAGGGAAGTGGATATTTAAAATGAACCATGCAAAGGAAAAAAAAACCCTCAACCTTTGACTTTGTGGGTGGGGGAACAGGAAATGGCTGGCATATAAGCTAGAAAAGAAAGAAGAAAAGATGTTGAAACTTCAACATTGAAATACTGCATTAATGATTAATGTGGCTATGCATTTCATCAGTATTCCAATTTTTTAACAAAATCTACAAAGATTATAGAGGGAGAAAGAAAATTATGAACGGCGTAATAATAATAGGGGAAGTTTTGAAAATTAGGAATGAATTTATAACAATAAGGGAAATTTTGGAAGGTATAAAAAAGCTCAAGGAAGGATGCCAGGATCTGATCGCTTATCAGGTTTGTACTATAAAAGTTTTGAGGATAAACTTTCAGAATCTCTATGAAACACAATGTTCTCCCTTACAACTCTAATGATTCCAGCTGAAATAATGAAAATATTTTTGCAAGAATTCATTCACGAGGATCAGTGTGGGTTCTTACATAAAAGACAATTAAAGGACAATGTTAGAAAGAAAAAAATGTGTGGACCGTTTTGGAATAACAATAAAAAACAAGTTGCATAGAGTTTTTCAGATGAAGAGAAAGCCTTTGACAATTAAAACAGGATCTCCCCATTGCTGTTAACATGTTTCTTCAGAATTTCAAGCCATGATACAGTGCCAAAGTTTCACCTGAATTTATTGCAACCATTCTGAGGTCCAGGGAAATGATTGACTTCTGTTAGCTTTTTGTCCCCTAGTCATTTGGAACTTCCAATGTGGCATGATTGCTGTCCCCTAAGATGTCCGATATTTTCAGACCATGCATGAATTCCTCTCCATTGGTTAGGATTTGGTGGGTTTCTTCTTCTGCATTCTGAAAAAAATAAAATTGTCAGCAAGAATGATCATATACCTATTGAATTACCAGTGTATAAAGTATAAATGAGTAAGAAGATACCAGGATATTTATGCATTGATTTAGAAAGGGATTGTCCCCTTCCTGTCTAGAGAAGACCCTTGTATACAACATACACAGTCACTTTTTCTTCATTTTTCCTGTTAATTTTAATGGAGGTCCATTTTTAGGGACATGAATTTCTTTATGGCTTCTTTATATAAAACAGCTGCCCTGCCTTCTCTATTTGTGTTTTTTTGTTTTGAACAAATCAAAAGTCTTAAGTTTAATATTCTAATCATAAATCTCACCCCACCAGATATCTAATTATCCTTTAGTGCTTTCCTCTAATAGGATTTTCAGTTCCTTCTTTGCCTTACTCATACCCGGTACAACGTTGCATGAACACAGGTAGTCCTTGTCATACAACAGTTCATTTAGTGGTCGTTCAAAGTTACGTCACTGAAAAAAATGACTTACAACCATTTTTCACACCACTGCAGTATCCCGATGGCCACGTAAACAAAATTCAGATGCTTGGCAACTGACTCATATTTATGACGGTTGCAGTGTTCCGGGGTCGTGTGATCACCTTTTGCAACCTTCTGACAAATGGGGAAATCAATTTCACTTAACAACCATGTTACTAATTTACCAACTGCTGTTGATTCACTTAACAACGGTGGCAAGAAAAGTCATAAAATGGGGCAAAACTCCCTTAACAAATGTTTCATTTAGCCACAGAAATTTTGGGCTCAGTTGTGGTCTTAAGTTGAGGACTACCTATACTAGAGGCTCTACCAATGACTTGGTTTTCTGTTCCTTGGGATGGAGAGCTTTCCTGCCTCTTCCTGATTCAATTATGCAGATATGATCATTGTTCCTACTGTCCAGGCTTCCTCTAGCTGAGCGTATGTTTCTCTCTTTTCCCCACTTTTCTCCTTGTGGACAATTCTGAAAAATGCTCAGGTTCAAGTACCAGACTAGAAGTTATGTGAACAGAGATTTTCACATTTTTGGCCTTCATCTGTTTAGTTCCAGATAGCAAATGTCAAGACAATGTGGTATTTGAATGAACCACACGATGTCACCCTTGCACTTCAAATTACCAAGTGAATCACCATTGCGTGATTTGCATAGTCAGCCAGTTATTTAGAATAGATCTGGCATTTTTATCCTTCCGAAAGACCTGAGAAAGGATTGATTGATTAATTCATCCTCATTGGTTCTATGATAGAAAAAAGCAGCTGGAAGGAAACCCACACAGTCTCAGACAAAGTATAGTTGCAAGTCAGTGTTGCTGATTTGTTGTTCTTTATTACAGGAAGTCTTTACTTAGTGACAATATCTGGTACAGAAAATTCTATCACTAAGCAATGTGGTCATAAAGAACATCATGGGATCACACCACTTTGTGACAACAGTTCTGGCACTTCCAGTTATCACCATTAAGGGAGTCCCACAATGTCATGAAGTGTGACATGGTGTGGTTGCCATTTGTAACCTCCTGCCAGCTTCCTTATTGACTTTGCTTATTGGAAGCCAGAAGTGAAAATTGTAAATGGTGATGATGTGACCGCAGGATTCTGTGACAATCATGTGTGACCTTGTCGACAAAAATCCAAATCACATTCACTTGACCGCGGTGACACTGTGATGGCCACAACTACAAGGTCCATTTATGAGGTCCCATCATAAATACAACTCATTCAGTGGCATCATAACTTAAAATGGTTGCTAAATGAATGATTGTTAAACTAGGACTATTAATATTTAAATACTTAACCTATATAAGTAGATAATCACTATGCTGCTAATTGTTGCAGAAAAATATTTGTCAATCCCTTTTCAAATTGCATTATTTTTTTTCTCTAAGGGTATAAAAGGTGCAGCCCCTGTTCAGAACATGGCCAGATTTCAGCCCCTTTCAACCTTTTAATCAAAATACCAACCCAATAATTCCAGCCCTCTGTTTCCCCACTCATCCCTCCCCTGTATTAGCAGGGCAAGTGGATCTGTTTCCCCACTCATCCCTCCCCTGTATTAGCAGGGCAAGTGGATCGAGCTCTTCTATAAGCAGAAAACTTAATTGTCTCCCAAGTGGAAATAGGAAAGAAACGAGAGCTTTGGCTTTGTTCTGTTAAGAATAAAAACTAGTTAACTACATTGTCAGAAAACTAATGTCCTGGTATTTGTATAAAAGTATCATGGCGTTCATAACTGGCAAATTAATGGGGATATATTGAGAGGTGTGTATTTATAAATACTCAATGGTTTGCTATTGCAGGACTGTCTTGTCCTCAAATACTTTCTATGTCTGGAAAATGGTACACCACGGCGTAGCTCAACTATCCTGAATTTTTTCCACTCAAAAGACGCCTACTTCCTCTCTTGCAAGGTCTTCCTAGCCTAGGTCAACTCCCAACTCTTCTACGCTGTCCTTTTAGAAATCCTAACATCCAGGAAGCCATCTCATCTATCCCTGCAGTCCCAACATACACTAAAAATGTCTGTTTAGAGATGCACTTGGATGTTAGAACTTGGTATCATATTTTAAACATCAGTGTACACTTTATCAGTGTACATGCCCTTGTAGAGATGCCTCAGTAGAGTCTTTGAGCCATATGTATCTTATCATTAAGGATTTTTTTTTATAGGGAATTGCTATTTATCATTCTTGATCCAACTGCCATTTGGATAAAGCTTTCCAGGTTGCCCAGTCCCCTGTACTATTCTATGTTGTAGAAAGTCAGCACCCCACCAACCCTCCTAGAAAATGAAATATTTTAGGAAATTTTTAAAAAGTCAGGACAGAATATTTCCCTTAAAGGAGAAATGGGAAAAAATTTTTTAAGGGAGGCAGAAACCAGCCCCAGTCTCCCTGACCCAAGCAGAAACTGAGGAGGCCAGCTTTTAGAATTTGGTAATCCATTCAGAAATACTGAGTCAGACAGAAACTCTAGATAAGCAATTAAGCAAGACAAAATTAACTTAGACCAGGGGTGTCAAACTCGCGGCCTGGGGGCCGGATGTGTCACGCCCACCTCTTTTAGCGAAGGGGAAAAAAAGTCACTTCATAAGTTTGACATCCCTGCTTTAGACGAACACTTAGGATTTGCATTTCCCCTTTTGCCTATAGAGCCAGCCATGACCCTTACATGACCCCATAAAAAAGGTACAAAAATCCACCCTACTCTCAACTCCATGTTGTCAGCTGTCCCAAAACGGCAGGTTGTGTATGTGTGTGATGGTTCTGTTCACTGATAAACAGAATCTTTCTTTCCAATCAGCCTCCATTTTATTCCCAGCTCGGAACCGGACCTAGATTTCTCTTCCAAACGTCTTTCCTGAGACCTGAAAATCTGCATTAATTCCCTTTATTTTTAGCTTCCTATTTTCATTTTATAACTGCTTTGCTTTTTTTAAAAAAAAGAGAGAGAGAGAGAGATTGATCCTGTGTCCCTAATAAAGTTTTGGTTTGATCTGACGTTCTAGATCAGAACCTCGGGGACTTGACATCTAACGAGGCTTCTTCACGTGTGCAAAACGTGAAAGATGCGTGTTTCCTAGGCTGAAGAGAGCTTCCGTCCTCTCTTTTGTCCCCGCCTAACTCCGCCCCGAAAGAGTTTCGGCGAAGGAGGAAGGAACAGGCGAAGCGGTGGAGGTCTATTTAGCAAGAGGGGATCCCTATCTTTCCGGAGCGCGCAAACGGGTGGACACCCCCTTCCCCCGCTTTGGAGGAGAATATAGGTAAAAGGGAACCGGGTCTGTTTTTCCCCACGTCTCTATCTAACCCGCGCTTCTGATGTCCCCTCTTGCGTTTCTTCCGCGCTTTTTCGCCCCCCGCATCCGCTGAAGAGAAAATACGATTAGGGATGGGTCGCTGGCTCTTCAAGAGGTTGGAGACAGCCATGGGCTGTTCATCACTCGCGACTGATTGATTGATTGATTTCCTTAGGCAACGATGGGGGGGAGGGGGAAGAACCTGGAAAGGCGGGAAAGCCGAAAGTAAAACCGAAAGCAGCTCGGTTTTCTGGTCGGAGGATTTAGACCAGCCCTTCCGCTCAGCTACGAAGTCCGCGATGTAACCGGGAAGGTTATAGAAGTAGCCCAGAGGTCTCCAAACTTGCCCAACTTTAAGACTTGTGGACTTCAACTCCCAGAATTTCTCAGCCAGCTATGCTGAAAGCTATGCTGAAAGCTATGCTGGCTGAGGAATTCTGGGAGTTGAAGTCCACAAGTCTTAAAGTTGGGCAAGTTTGGGGACCTCTGCTACGGTATAGCCTCTTTCCTGTTTGCAGCCTTAAGCGTTTCTCAATGCCACTCACATTTTTTTTTTTTTTAATGTGCGGACTTCAACGGGACAGACGGCTGAGGAAACCCTGGCCGTTGAAATCCATAGATCTTTTAAAAAAAAGGTTCGCGGGCCGCCCCGGCTTTCTCCACGTTTCTTTTTATGCCTCTGAAGTTTCAATGGCGAGGCCAGGCCGTGTGTGCGTGCGTGCGTGTGTGTGTGTCGGGTGTGAGAAAGAAGGAACTGAACTGACTTCGCGGATCTTAAAAACCAAAATAGGAATAGAAAATAGAAAGAATAAGCAACTCCTAATGCCTTTCCGGGTTTATGGGTTTAGCTGCAGTCAAAAGGATCAGAAATTAGGTGCTTCCAGGAAAGGGGTACCCTATTATTACACAATCTCCCTTTCTTATGCCTAGAATTTTAAGAGGGATGTGGCCCCACTGTTAACCAAATCTGTATTTTCTCCCATGTCTGACAGAGTTTTCCTCAGGGAGAACTGTTTATAAGTCTAGGTAGGCAGTGCCCTCTGAACAAAATCTGGAGGTTCTAAATCAGTATCTGTTCTACCTTTATGATTTTCACGAGCTCCAAGAGTTTATATATAAAGTGAATCTGTTTGTTTATTATTATTTAAAAAATAAAACGAGGCAACAAAGTAAAATGAGAGTCAAGAGCAGACATATGAAAACATAACATGTACTTCCATAACCACTTCCTGTTCAGTCTTTCAGTCGGAGTCACTTTATGAAGCAAACTTCAAGCGTGCCCCGAGTGTTCTGCTGGGAAATAAGATGTACCGGTATATGATGTCTCCTAAATATCTTTGTTCCCATTTGCTTACTGAGAATGTACTTGTGAAATGCTTTTTAACATTTTGGCCATATACTAAATCAATAAATCTGGAGAATTTTGTTCATATCTTCCTCCAGAAATAGGCAATTTATCCACACATTAGATGGGTCCGACCTGGATTTTTTTTACACTCTAGTAACATGTTTCCTGATTCTACTCTGTGTTCATGCCTAGAATAGTGCAGGTGTGTTTTTTTTCATCCCTCCTGATAAACAGCTGGCTATCTCTTTGTTTTGTCAGTCCCCACGTTGGTTGAGTCCTCAAGAGTATTTATTTAATTCATTTAACATTATTTAAAAGGTTGGTGCTGAATTCCAGATCATGCTTATTAAAGCACCCATTTTGGGGTGTTTTGCCATACTTTCTGAAGCAACCCCTTCTTGAATTATGTGTGGAGCCTAATCTCTTGAACGTTTAAAAAAAAAGCTCTAAAGGGGTGCCATAATTCTCTACATTTTGTACCATCACTTTTGAAGCTTTTCTGAAGCATGCAGATTTCTTTCAGATGCTCTACTACAGCAGTGGTCCCCAAACTTGGCAACTTTAAAACTTGTAGACTTCAACTCCCAGAATTCTCCAGCCAGCTATGCTATGGACGCGGTGGCTCAGCGTCTTAAGATGCTAAGCTTGTCGATCAGAAAGGTTGGCAGTTTGGTGGTTCGAATCCCTAGCACTACGTAACGGAGTGAGCTCCTATTACTTGTCCCAGCTTCTGCCAACCTAGCAGTTCGAAAGCATGTAAAAATGCAAGTAGAAAAATAGGCACCACTTTAGTGGGAAGGTAACAGCATTCTGTGTGCCTTCGGCGTTTAGTTATGCCGGCAACATGACCATGGAGACATCTTTGGACAGCAACGGAGATGAGCACGCTCCCTAGAGCCGGAAACAACAAGCACGTATGTGCAAAGGGCACCTTTACCTTTACCTTATGCTGGCTGGAGAATTCTGGGAGTTGAAGTCCACAAGTCTTAAACTTGCCAAGTTTGAAGATCCTTGATCTACATGATGTATTTTTAAAGTGATAGGTTTTTTTTAATACTTCCCTTTTTTCTGATTTTGTTTCTGTTTATATGAACTCTTCTAGACTTACTGAACACTGATGTCCCAAAAGTGCTATTCAAAAGACAACTGGACTTTCTCGATATTTTCCCCTTAAGAATGTTTTGCTTCTGATCCAAGAAGTTTAGAACTGAAGAAGCTTCTTGGATGAGAAGTGAAACATTTGCAGGAGGGGGAAAGAACAAGGAAGTTCAGTTGTCTTTTGAACAGAACGTTTGGGATAACCATGAGCTGGATGACTGAGAATCTACATAGACATGAACTCTGATATGTAAATGCTTTATAATAATATTTATCATCCAGGCAGAATCCTGTCCCTGGCTAATTTAGAGAATAGGTAATCCAGTTGCTATGCTGAAAAATTTGGCCATCTGCATAGCTGGCTGGAGAATTCTGGGAGTTGAAGTTCACAGGTCTTAAACTTGCCAAGTTTGGGGACTCCTGAATTAACCTCTTTAAATTAGGTAATAGGCTGCTGGTTGCTCTTTGTATATTTTGGGTAACAAGTCCCATCAATTCTAATATTACCATGGTTAGACTGAGGTCCAAGACATCTAGAGGAAGCCAGGGTATCTACCTCTGATTGAGACAGTGAAGGAAATTGAAACTTACTTTGGGGTTTCGTTCCTAAGGATGTACCATTGAATAGTTGGGGATTAATTACTAAATACGCATTAGAGATGCGGAAGATGAAGTCATCTTCTGAACATTTTAGAAGGTTACAAAAGTACCTGCTTTGTCCAAAATCTAGAGTAGGAATTGAAGGATGGATCATAAAATACCTTCTCTTCTGTATTAACATTTCAGGCATTGGATTTTTTTTTCTGAATTAAAGTGCTCTGTGAACCACAGTCATGGCCTTGGCTGACATCCAGATGAAATCAGATGATTTTTTGGAAAAAAGCCAGCTGAATGCTGGTGGTTTTGGAACTGTCTCATTATGCTACCACAAAAATCATGGGCTAGTAGTATTAAAAACTGTGTATACTGGACCTCAACGCACAGAGTAAGTTGGATAAATGTTCTTCGCAGATGGGAGAGGGCAGGACAGAATTGTTGGAAGTGTCCTGGAAATTTCAAACCAGATTAGCTGATCTTTTGGCTGAATTTGTTCATTCTCTATCTTTTTAAAGATTTGCTTACCAGAGATGATTACTAAAGCAAGATTTTCCCAGTGGTATTTAATAAGAATGTAAAAGGAAGGATCCCAACATTTGGCTTCTCCCAGACAAACTAGATTTGTTTTAAGAAAAGTGCACAAGCAACAGCAATAACACTTAGCATTATATGCAGCTCCATATTGCTTTTATAGCCCTCACTAAGTGGTTTAAAGAGTCAGCATATTGCACCCAACAACCTGGCTCCTCATTTTACTGATGGAAGGATGGAAGGCTGAGTCAACCTTGAGCCGGTCAGGATCGAACTGCTGGCAGTCAGGAGAATTAGCCTGGTAGTTGTGTGTATTTTTGATCTTGCAGGCTTTCAGCTAATTTTTGCTGCAGGTGGTTCATTGCTGCTGGCTCTGTAAAAGGCACCAGTTGAGGATTCATTCAGGTATCGACCTATAGAATACCCTTCTTTTTTCTTTTACATGACACCAATAGTATGAGGCATTTTAACTTCCTATAATGTCCTACACTAATTTATTGTGGAATTAAAATGCAGCTGTTCCCCAGACCTGCATACGTATTGAAGTGTAAGGGATAGTGGAAAAGTGAGCAAGAAAGAATCTGGATCCTTTAATATTCCTGTTAGTGTAAAAACAATAGAATACACCACTGGTAATAATAGGAATTGCCACTCATATATATGACCACTTCTCATTCATTCACCTCATTGATTGCAGTTTTTTGCAGCGTAGTGCACGGCAGTTGTGTTCATCTCAAACATCACAGTCGATTAAGGCAGGGATCCCCAACCTTTTCGACGCCGCGGCCCGGTTCCGGCGTCAGCTGGGCGCCGCGGCCCAGTTCCGGCGTCAGCTGGGCGCCGCCATCTTTTTTTGACGAAAAATCACTTCCGGTGACGTCACCGGAAGTGATTTTTCGTCAAAAAAAATGGCGGCGCTTCCGGTGAGCTTTTTCGGGTAGAAATGGCTTTCTACCCGGAAAAGCTCACCGGAAGGGCTGGCGCCGCCATCTTTTTTGACGAAAAATTGCTTTTTTTACCAAAAAAAGATGGCGGCGCCCAGCAACCAGTGGCCCGGTAAGGCTTGTTCCGCGGCCCGGTACCGGTCCGCGGCCCGGCGGTTGGGGACCCCTGGATTAAGGTTTGCGAGACTTGTAGTGCAAAAGATCTGGTGGCACTGGGGATTATGGCTTGTGTTTAACTGTGCCTTTTGTCATCACAATTTGATCCCTCACTTCAGCAAGTTCAGATGAATACAACTAAAGCAGAGTTAGGCATCGTGATGGCCCACAGCTATTCTAGATTTAGAAGGCTCTTGATGCCTTGCTACTGATTGTGCTGGTTGGAAGGAGAAGCCAATCTGGAAAATACCAGGTTGCCTATTCTAGGCTTACAAGTCTGAAAATCACAACACGAGCATAGAACGTTAGAACGTTTTAGAATGTTAGATCTCCAGTTCTCTTGATAACGCTTATAGTAATTATTTTCCAGATGTAACACTTCCCTTCTAGAGGAAGGCATGATCATGCACAAACTAAATCATGATCGGGTGGTGAAACTACTGGGTGTCATCCTGGAAGATGGAAACTACTCCCTTGTGATTGAATACCTACGCAAAGGAGACTTGATGTCTGTTCTAAAAGCAGTAAGTAGGAAGTATATTGATAACTCGCAGAATAATCCACTGGTCGTTTTGGAGAAAGTGCCTAAAAGCTAGGAGATGTTAGTCAATCTTAACATTTGCTAGAGGTGATGTTTTTTATATGGCCATGAAAATGGTTTGGATTTCAATTCCCAAACCATGGGTGCTTATAGGGCTTATTACATGGGATTGCTGAATAATACAGTATGATGACGGGATTGTTCAATGATGGGGAAAGTGCAATATAAGAAGTCGGATGGAATTCAGATGTGTATTTTCAACTCCCAGAATTCTATGCTGGCTGGAGAATTCTGGGAGTTGAAGTCCACAAGTCTTAAAGTTGCCAAGTTTGGGGACTCCTCCTATAATCTCATCCATTCACACTTCTATAAGAATGATTTGAAAATCTCCCCCCCAAGTGAATGCTTTCCAGATCCATCCATCCATCATGCTTGGCCAATGTCCTATATTAATGGGTCTGAATTCCTCAGTAACTTTTTCACAACCTGCTATCCAACCTGGTAAATTCAGTTTTGTAGGTATCTAAACTGAATATAATCAATACTTTTCTGGAATTGCTTTTCTTTCTTTCTTTCTTTCTTTCTTACAGACTTCTATTCCTTTACCTTTGAAAGGACGTTTTATCCAGGAGATCATTGAAGGAATGCTTTACTTAACAGAACAACGTTTAGTGCACAAAGATCTGAAGCCAGAAAATATTCTTGTGGATGAAGAATTTCACATCAAGGTAACATGAACACACAGACACACATATTTTTAGTTTCTAGGAAAATCAGAGCACAAGTGTTTGTTAAACGTATGTTTGCCTGTTAGGCTATAAAGTGGTGTTTGGGAGGGCTTGACTTTGACTAGATGGATTTGTGGTACAGCAACTCAATTTTCCTTTCTCAGTATATCTGACTGTTTACTCTTTGCTTTCCTGCAATGTCATTTTAAGATTTTTGTGTTGGGTAAAGGGAAATATGCCATCAGGTGTGCAAAAGACTTTCTCCACACTGAAAACTTACTTCCAGGTGTGGGAGTCCAAGGACCTCCTTGGTTCTTTATTTAAAGCAAGTTTAGATGATTAAAAGTAAAGTAGAGACAGCCATTATAGTGGCCTCCAGTTCTTCTAGATAATAATGCTCTTGACATCTTGCTACTTATTGTGCTGGCTGGAAGGAGAAACCAATATCTCTGGAAAGGGTCTACGACGGGTCCCCAAACTTAGCAACTTATTCTAGGCTTAAAGTGTGAAAATCACAACATGCTCAATCACAACTTGAGCATAGATCTTAGAATGTCAGCATGGAAGCCAGTTTTAGAGATTTTTTTCTCATAGTGAACTTACCTATTTTAGGGTTTGCACCAGATTTTTTAATTTGTTTCTCCCAGTTTTCAGAAATTATGTTCTATGATGGTTCCAAGGCTACCAAAAGGGGAACTGAGAATCACATGCCACCTCTGTTAAGAAGTATGACTTTAAAGAGAAAAGAACTGGGATGGAAGAGGGAAGAAGCAATAGTGGTAGTGTTAATTTGCAGACTTCTTCAAATGACTTTTTGGATTATTCTACAGGGTTTCTAGAATGGGACTAAGAAAACAAAGTACTGGTCACAAGAGCCACGATCATAGCTTTTCGGCTTTTACTGTAGATCTGGATTTGCATTCTGCCAGATCAGCTTCATCAGGTCAGCAGCTTTTTTGGTGGCCTGGAGATATTAATTTTTAAGAGTTTCATGAGTGAGGATTGGGCAAGACCAAAATAGCACCAGAAGATGGGGGATTTTCAGCCGCACAGTCTTTGGGGGGGGGTCTATGGATTATGTGAAAGAGATTGGGAATCAGTGGAGGCTGAATGTTGTTAGATTGTATGTCATTGTAATTCTATTTTATTGTTTTGTTTTTGTCATGCCCCTGGTGGAGACTGACTCTGAGGGAGAGGAGGAACAGCCCACAGGGAGTGGAAGTGTGGCTCCGAAGGTTGTGGAGGAAGCTGGGGAAGGGCAGAGGCCGGCTGGGCAGTCAGAGGAGGACCCAGGCCTCTCCATCCTAGGGCACGCAGGGAGGAGAGGATAAGGGAGAGATGTGGTCTACTGGGGAGGAGAGGGCCTTGATCCTCTTCATGGGCTGCAGCTGTTACAACTGGATAAGAGGACGGACATGCATATGGGCGAGTGCTGGAAACAAAGCGTGGAAATATCTCTAGTTTATTGTTCCTCTCTGAGTTTGGCATCCTTCCCAGTGTGCGTTCTGATATCTGTGGACGTCTTCCAGCCCTTGCCTGGTTTGTGTTGTTTTTTACTCCTTATAATTTAAACGCCATTTCTTCCTTCTTGTAACTGCTTGTGTGGGAGTTTTTTTCTCCAAGGATATTTGGAGCTTGGAAGCAAAGTGAAGGAATAAAAGGGCCTTCACCTGTTTTTTGTGACTGTGTTTATTTTGTATCCCACCCTGGGTCATCACAGTTTGGTTTTAAAAAGGCATGAATCAAAAGACAAAAACATTTCTGACTTCCTACCCAATCATAAAAAGCAGTTCAACAGAATTACAGCAAGGGCTGTCTAAATCATTATACGGATAACAAGAACCAGTTGCCTCCATTCTTCAAAGATCTTTTTTTTAATATTTTCAGTGTTGTGACATTTTGTATAATTTTGTAAGTCCCCATTACCTGACACCAAAAGCTGGCTTATATTTCACCCCCTTCTACTTTGAATCTTTAGTCTCCCTTCAGTGTCCAATATCTAAAATCCGAGTGGCTTCTCTTTACTGAGAGCCAAGATAGCTACAATAATTGTGGTTCCCACAAGGAGCTATATCCCAAAATTACCTGAACCCTTAATCCATGTATAACTTTATCTAGCTTTCTGCTGTTTATTTCAAATTATTTTAAGTTTTTAATATTGTAGTTTTTCTTTTATTCAGAGTTGAAGCTAAACTCACCTGTTTACTTTTCAAACTTATTCCGAAGGTTCCTAATAGCTTTAAGATGGTTAATAGGTTATTTTTGATGCTTAAGCTTTTCCAGTGCTTAAACCAGTGGGAGATGGCTGCTGTTGCAAAAGTAGCCGCCTGGAGCACTTGTGGGTGATCTCCTATCCTTTCCATATTTGGAGAGGTTCTGAAGAATGGTCTACTCACCAATTCTTTAATCTCTGCCGCAGTCTTTGGCTCTGCTTTCATAGAGATGTCTGCACCAGTGGACCCCAACCTTTTGAATACCAGGGACTAGTTCCACGGAGAGAGGTTTTTCCATGGACTAGAGGGATGTGGCTTTGTGTACTGCCTGCATCCCGCAGATAGGGTTTTGCTTGGGGGTTGGAAACCCCTGGTCTAAACCATATATCTATGGTACTGCAAGCCTTTCCAATTTGTTTGCATCAGGATATTGCTTTTGCTTTGCTGGCCAGAGAAACCTACCATATTTGACGACATCCGAATATGTTGGAAACGCTCAATACAAGTAAGCATGTCACCTGCCAGAGTCTTGGTTGCTTTCATCTGGGCCATGTACTGAGGCAACTAGAGCAGGGGTGTCAAGCCCGCGGCCCGGATGCATCATGTGCTGCCCACGCCCCCTCCGGTTTAGCAAAGTGGCAATACGTCACATGACGACAATGTGTCGTCGCGAGTGTGACATCCCAGATCTAGAGGATCAGAGGCTTTTGTCAAAGTGATGGAAACAATGCTACTCATTGCAACAAAAGCTCGGTTCATTTGTATGTGCATGCCACACAATGACACAAGCACAAAAGGGACAGATCATCCTGCCCCCTGTGGACCCTTTCCCTGCTTATTCCCAAACTCTACCCTCATCTGTCTTGTAGATAGCAGACCTTGGTATGGCTTGTTTCAAAAACTGGAGCAGGCTGTCTAAAGAAGAGACCAGTCGACAGAGGAAAATCAAACAGGATTCCAAGTCTAATGCTGGCACCCTTTCCTACATGGCCCCAGAACATCTGAAGGACATCAACACAATACCTGTGGAGAAATCAGATGTTTACAGTTTTGGCATTGTCTTATGGGCCATTTTTGCCTCCAAAGAACCTTACGAGAGTAAGAGTTTATGATCAAATATCTCTACTTTATAAAATGTTGTACTGCATGTAGTCAGCCTCATGCTCTACTCATGCCCGATTCTTCTCTCTCTTCCTCATCCAGATGCAGTCAATGATACGCAGCTGTGCTATTGCGTCACAATAGGGAACAGGCCACCTGTCAGAGAGGTGGAAGACAGTTGTCCAGATGAGATTATAGTTTTAATGAAAAGCGCTTGGCAGCAACATCCAAATGATCGCCCAACTTTTTCAGGTAATATAAGATACTTCTGCTAACTATTTATAACGGGGGACCCCAAACTTGCCAACTTTAAGACTTGTGGACTTCGACTCCCAGAATTGTAGGAGTTGAACTCCACAAGTCTTAAAGTTGCCAAGTTTGGAGACCTATGATTTATAACAAGGCAAAAAGATAATGGTAGTGCACAACTGGACATAAAGAAAATGTGGATCGCCTTCCATAAGCAGCAGAATGAAACCAGTTAAGGTGCACATGGAACTTTCTCATACATTATACAACATTGTGATTTATGTGACCCAGCGTTCATTGTACATATCACAACAAATATTACAGACCCCAAACTAGAACTGGAGGGGGGGAAAAAACTTTACATACTTTCTAAAAACGTAGTGGAAAGGAATGGAATAGATTTCCTGATTTCTGGAATCTGTGAGAATTGGGTTTTCATGCATTATATCAAAGCTCATAAATTGTCTAAGTGATTTCTCCACCATATCCACTTCTCACCTATGTAACATAGTTTGAAAACTACACATAGGAACTTCAAGTGCAACCTACTAAATTAACATAATGAGAATTCTAGATACACTTATTACTTCTTCTAAAAGCTCAAAAAATAAGAATTTACATAATAAGATATATGCAGTGATTTTGTTTTTCCTCATTCCGTTCCTATTTAGTCTGTTTTCAGGGAATAACTGAAGGGTTTGCCTACATGGAGCTTTTGCATATGTACTGATCCACCCACCCCTGAATAAACTATATAGAGACATTTTCATTTCAATGATTTACAGCAGGGGTCTCCAACCTTGGCAACTTTAAGCCTGGCGGACTTCAACTCTCAGAATTCTGGGATTTATAGATACATAGCATGTTTCCGGCTAAATCTGAATACAGGTAGTCTTCTCTTGACCACCACAACTGAACCCAAAATTTATGTTGTTAAGCGAGAAATTTGTTAAGTGAATTTTGCCCCATTTTACGACTTCTCTTGCCACATTTGTTAAGTGAATCAACGCAGTTAGTTAAATTAGTAACACGGTTAAGTGAATCTGGCGTCCCATTGTCTTTGCTTGCCAGGAGGATCATGTGACTCTGGGAACCATCATAAATGGAAGTCAAGCATCCGAGTGTAATGCTACAATGGTCATAAGTGTGAAAAATGGTTGTAAGTCACTTTTTTCACTGCCGTTGTCACTTCGAAATAAATTGTTGTAAGTTGAGGACTACCTGAATTAAACATAGCTCTATATATCACATAATCTATGGCCGGGTCTATTATTTATCATTTGCGTAACTGTTAGTACTAAAATAATTTAGGAGAAAACTACATGCTAGAACTTTTGTTTTACAGAACTCAAGGGAATCTATTGGCTAGTTTAAAGCAATTCTAATTCTAACCATAACTTAGAAGGATGTGCAAACTTAAATTAACATAATTACACCTCTCATTGCCAGTGAGGGTGTTACTGATTTTTATTTCAATTTTTTCACTAATTCTTTTATTGTAGAAATACATTTGATTTACAACCCATATTACCATGAAAACTTTGAACAAGATGTGGAAGACCATGTGAGAGAATTAAAAGTAAGTTATCAAACACATAGCTGTACAATCCATCAGGGTTACCTTTGAAAGGTACCCTATTTTGTATTCCTTTTAAAGCTACATTCTTCCTACAATTTCATCACTTTTTGTTATTCTTGTTCTGTGTAATAGGAAATATATCCTGAACCAATTGAACTTGTAAAACGGATGGAATCTCTCCAAGTAGATGCTGTGTCAGAACCTTCCAGCAGAGCTCGATCAGGTATTTTATTTTATTTTATTTTATTTATATCCAGTTTACACTATTGTTGGTCCAATAGATTCCAGGGGTAGTGATGTCTGATAATCAGCCATGACCTTCCAACTAAAAACTTATATTAGAGATCCATGCCTAGGGAAATAAATATTTCTGAACCTATGGGATCATAAAATAAAAACTAATTAGACCTTCTTAGAGAACAGAAGATACTATCACATGACCCCTCCAGTAAAGTCACTCTCTTTGTTTTATTTCACTTGGCATATTTCTGTCATGGAGAATTCTTAAAGAAAAAGTTGAACAGAAGATAAAATCCATGCACAGGCTGGATTTTGTTGTTTAAAGTCTCATCTTTTGATCGTTCCTATTTTTTCATAACGCCATGGACTCTTAACAGGTGCAAAATCTCTAGCACAGGGGTGTCAAACTGGATTTCTTTGAGGGCCGGGTCAGCATTGTTAGTTGTCCTCTGTGGGCTGGCCGGGTGGGGGGAGGTGCGAGACGGAACAGATGCCTCCTGCAACACCCTGTTGGTCAAAATGTGCGTTGAGCCTTGTTTAGAAATCACAGTAGCAAAATTTCTGGAAAGGGTTACATTCCAAGTCTGTAAGGAAAACTTAAAATGGAAGGAATTTGAAGATTGGGGCATTTTAATTGAAAATGTCCTCTTTCTGCTTGCCCCATAATTATTGGCTTTAGAGGTGCTGCCTTGGAAAGGACCATCTTCAACTCCTTCTTGATGAGCTGGCACATAAGGGATCAGGCACGTACAACCATGCTAGGAGACATTTAACTGCAAAATGTATTTGAGTTGTCCTAACGACAAAAGCTATAGAGGAGAATAGAGTTCTTCCATAATAAAAGAGATCTAGGTTAAGATAAATTAGAACCCATCAAAATAGCAGATGGTGCTGAACATCTCTGAGCCAGGTTGAATGAACTATTAGGAGAACCATGAAGCAGGGGCGGTTTTAAAGAGATTATATAATTTCTGTTTACTCGTAAGACTTACCACATTCAGTGGGACATATACCAAAATGTGGGGAAGGACTTAATGGCACAGAATATTGGGAGTTGTAATCCCAGTGTTCTGAAGCAGGGGTCCCCAACCACCGGGCCCCGGACCGGTACTGGTCCGTGGAACATTTTCTACCGGGCTGCCGGTTTTCTGGGCGCCACCATCTTGTTTTGATGAGAAAGTGCTTCCGGTGAGCTTTTCCGGTTGGAAAGTTGCGTTTGGGTCCTGAAGGAATCCTCGCGCCTTAGTTTCATCGAAGGGGAGGGGGCGGCTTCAAACAAAACTAAGGCGCGAGGATTCTTTCAGCACCCAAGGCAAGGCGAGCCGAGCAACCGTCCCGAAGCCCATCGACAAAGGTACAAAGGAGGAGTTGAAGGTGGCGGGGAGAAGCGGGGGACGGCTGGCTGGCCGGTCGCTCGGCTTGCCATGCGTGCTGATGCCGGTACCGGGCCGTGGCACAAAATCATTTTGTGATGCCGGTACCGGGCCGTGGCACAAAAAAGGTTGGGGGCCATTGTTCTGAAGGATACCAGGTTGAGCAAGGTGGGGATGTATTGGATTTAATCTTGCATTCAGTGGGGTTGATCAATAAGATATCCCACAAAGGGACTGGAAATTTTTCCATGAAACCTTTGATAATAAAATCAAATTTCTAATCTATCCCGCAGATCAACCTGGTTCTTTACACAGTTCTCAAAATTTCACGGCTAATAACACTATAGATGAAAACATGTTTGCGCCATATCCAGAAAATGAGCCTGTAGAAAGCTGTGAAAATACCTCTGATCCCCCGGCAAACTTGCATCGAAAATTACAGGATGAACTAAATTACCATCTGTATGGCAGCCGGATGGATAAGCCAGAAAATCCTTCTGCTGCATATAGTGCTGAAATGCAAGAAGAACAGAGGCGAAAGAAAAAGGTTTCCTATGACCCATTTGCCAAAACGGCAGCCATACCTCGGACACCAGAATTTTACCAGAGAGCTCAAAACCTCCAAGCAAGTGTGAGTAACAACACTACCGGTACAGCTCATTCAAGTCGTCCATGGTACTCAACACCATCAGGAGCAGTAGATCCAAATGGCTTTCTGGCGGCAGGAACTCTACATCCCAGCAGGTGGCTAAGTACAGAAGATCTCTATGCAACTCCCTCAGCACCCTCAGCCACAAACTTTAATTTCAATAAACCACCAGTTCCAGAATCTGGCATAAACAGTCAGGCCAAGCCATACAATCCATATCATCCTCAAAGCTTAAGCACAGAAACTGGTAAGTGAGATAATATGGGAGTCTAAAGAGTTGCTTATTTCTCTTTGCATCATGGTGGTCCATGTCCATTCTAACAGCATCCACTAGCCAGGAAAGAAAGAAAAAAGAAAAGCAGAGTCCGGTTGCAACCCACAATAATAAAGTTAACCAGCTTTAACTACTTCGTCTTAACCTCTGAGGTTGTTACAATCATTTAAATTGTAAGAATAACTGGCCTGAATGAAATTCTTCGCACACTGTGATACAGCTTTGGGTAACCTAATGCCCGTCCATATGAGCTGAAGTATTATAGTACAACATAGAGGCAGGAGTGGGCTGCAACCCGTTTAACAACCGGTTCTGTGAGCATGCTCTTCGCACGCGTGCGCAGCATTCAATAAACACCAATTTGAACTTCTCCAGCTCGCCTTCTAGCCTTCCCCGGTAAGTAGAACAGCTGAGGCGCGGTAATTCACTTCGCCCCGCGAATCAGCTGAACTGCAAAAGAAGGAAATTAAGACAGGATAGGGTGGGGGGCAGGTGGCCGGGGCCAACTGTTTGTGAGGGTTCGCTAGAACCAGTCTGAACCTGCAGCAGCCCACCACTGCACATAGGTAATCCTCCTTCATTGACTTACTATTACTTTTTTTAGTGACTGTTCAAAGTTATAAATACCCATTAACAAAGCAGCTTATGACTGTTTTTTCACACTGCTGTGGTCATGTGATCAAAATTCAGAAGTTTGGCAACTGGTTCATATTTAGGACGGTTGCAGTGTCCCAGAGTCATGTGATCCTCTTTTGTGACCTGACAAGAAAAGTCAATGGGGAAGCCAGATTCACCTAACCGTGTTACTAACTGGACAACTGCAGTGATTTACTTAATGACTATGGCAAGAAAGGTCATAAAATGGGGCAAAACTCACTTAACTGTCTCGGTTAGCAACAGAAATGTTGGGCTCAATTGTGGTCCTAAGTCGAGGACTACCTGTATACAAGACACATGGCTGCATCTGACTTGACGAAGAATAAAAATTCTTAGTCCAAATTTGAAGACTGTAGATGAAAATATACTGAAATTCAAGATTCAAGTTCCTGGTAAGAAGGGCCTGTGGTCTGGCTATCTTAGTGATTTAAAAATTTCACTAATATTTTGTTTTAAAAATGAACTATGTTTGGTCAAGATTTTCTCTTTAAACACATGGAAATAAAGTTTACGTGCCACAAATGGCCAAACTGGAGGCTTTTTACAAGCTGAGAGTTGGAAACAGGATTCTATAACAGTGAATCTTGCGTATGTACCACCATATCACTAGATTGCCCCCTTGGTCATTTTTTTTTATCAGCCTACTAAAGCTCAGAGTACCATTACCATCACTCAGAGTTCCATTTGAGTAATTATAGAATCAATTGTATTTTATACTCTTAAAAGTTATAGAGGTCAAGAACAGTGACATTGACCTAATTCTGAAACAATCTGTACAATTATTTAGGTCCTGTGGAGTCGATTCCCTGTAGAAAATTCAACTTTGCACATATGGGCGGAATACCTACAGGTAAAACAAAGAAGTAAAACGTTCTCTTCAGGTGACTTCTTTTAACGGTGCGCATACCATGTCTGGGCTGCAAAACGCCACACGACAGCTAGGTGGCAGTGAAATGTTTAGACTTTTTGCTGTCTCTATGTTGCCATCTAGACATCATCTGAACCACTGCACCCCATATATATGGAATGCCCCCTTTATTAGAGCGTTATCAAGACAGTCCTCAATTTACAGCCGTTCGTTCAATAAAGTTTGAAATTACAATGGTGCAGAACAGACTTGAGAACCCTGCCTAAAGTTCTGAGCATTGCAGCACTCCCAGAGTTATGTGATCAGAATTCAGGTGATTGGCAGCATACCTGTCCTTAAGACTACTGGAGCCCCGGAACTGCTCCTTCCCCACCCCTCTTCTATGGTCTGGGAAGCCTCAGCCAGCTAATGTGTGAGCCTCTTCCATTCCCCACACCACTCCCAAGAGGCTTAGGCCTTCTTCTTGCCCCATCATGCCCAGGTTCCCTTCCCTTTCCCTGCAGCTGCTAACAGGCAACCCCAGCCAATGTAAGGTATAGCTAGAAAGCTAGCAAAGGCAGTCTTCCTCAAGGCTAGAGAGGCAATCTTTCTTGAGGCTGGCCAGGAGCAGGAAGCTTGCTGGCTGACTTCCTATAAGAGAATTAAGGAGAAACACCTGGATGAAGAATAACAAAACTAGAAGGGGGTGGATAGAATTAATGGGACTGTGAAAAAAAGAGAGGTGAGAAGTTTCAAGAACAAAAAACAGTTCATGAAGGGCTGTATGAATGTGATAAAATGAGAACAGAAAGGATAAAGAGGTATAATGAATGGTGTTGTCAATTAGATTTGGTTATATATATATATATATATATTTCTTATCTCATGCTTTTAATTTCTTTGGCTAACTACAACTTATGCCTTTTCTGCTATGCATAACTTTGCCTAGCCTGGAATGAAATAGCGTGAGGGGTATGGATGCCTCAAAGGCTTTTAAAAAAATATATTATTCAAGTAGGTGGTTGATTGATACATCCTTTGAAGACATGAGGATTGTAACAACACTTTCAAATAAGCTGTGATTTTAAATATGCTGTGTCATGTTGGCAAACTTGGCATATTGACTATATTAATCAACTCTGGTAAAGATGATTCTTCTAATCTGTCCTTGATGTTCAGAGGAAGAAATTATCCATTGTCATTTTATGCAAAAACACTGTTCTAAATTTCAGATATCTGTTAACATACAGTTTAGTATTTATTTATTTTTTTATGTTTTTGTCTCTATGTCTTTACACTTTTTTAAATCTAAATATTTCCTTATGTTCAGAAGAACCTGCAAACTACAACATATATAATAGTACTGGAATTCAAATAGGCTCCTACAACTATTTAGAAATTAAAAATCAAGATATTCGAGGAAACAGCCCTCAAGCAACCGCTGATTCCTACCCAGTGGAATACCAGAAAATATTTGGTAAGTAGAAATCTAAACTTTTTTCTTCCTTAATGGGAGAATCACTCTTCATTGATATTTCAGTTTTGCCGATCGTATTTACAGAGAGTTCATGTCCGGTGTTTTATTAATACATACGTTGGAGAAAATCAGTTAAATGAGGTTATTCCAAGGCAAGCAATGTATAGCTTTAATATAGTAAAACAGAGGAAGTGTTGGAATAGATCTGAATGGTTCAAAAACTGTTAGTCATGAAAACAAACTCCTTCTTTGTAGCCTTATTGGATGGAATGGTTAAAGAGATTATCCTGTATAAGGCATCCTGTATTCCTTGCAGGGAGGCCATGATTCAAATTTAGTAGAGCTACCCACTCTGGCCTGCAGTAACCAGAGATGACAGTAAAGAGATACAGAAGATTTGGCCTTCCTTTTCTAATCTACAGTCACCTGAAATTTTGCAGCCCTGATCTGGTGGCCAAAAATTTAGTAAACCATACCAAAACTATCACCAGAAAAAAAGTTCAGAAACACCATTTTCAGCTTCACAAAGCACGGGAAGGTATCCTTCATCACACCAAAGAGTCGTGACAGCGTGTTTGCATGCCACACATCTTGCCAATCGTCTTATTTAAAAAACATTATGTGAAGTGTCTTCATGCAGTTTCTGATCCATGTTTCAGAGAGTACCTCCACGTGAAGGGAATTCTTGCCTGACTTGGATTTCTTTCTTGTGTGGAAATAGAGGAGGCAGTTCTTTTATTGTACATGTACAGCAAATTTCTCACCAAGGATGGAAATGTCTTCCATTCTGTCTCTGGAAAAAAAACCAAACGATAGCAACAGACATCTTGCTAGCCCTCAATAGCCTGCTCTTTCATTGTTTTACCCATCAAGGGATTTCAACACAGGTAGTCCTCAACTTACAACCACAATTAGGGCCGGAATTTCTGTTGCTAAGCAAGGCAGTTATTAACTGAGTCGCACCCAATTTTATGACCTTTTTTGCCATGGTTGTTAAGTGAAGGACCACGTGGTTCACTTAACAACTGTGATGAATCGCGTAACAAATATCACGGCAAAACTCATGTGAACGTTAAGCAAATCTGGCTTCTTCCATGGATTTTGCTTGTTGGAAACTGGCTGGGAAGGTCACACATGGTCATCACAAGACCCCAGGATGCTGCAACCAGCAACCAATACATGCCAGTTTTCAAGTGATTGTAGGGATGTTGCAATGATTGAGCTCTGTGTGGACTTTGTATTAATAATTAATTTTGCACTTTAGTTGTTGGCAGCAATTCAAAGGAGATAAAGGTAGGTGCTTATCTAGAGAGACTGTTTGGGACTCATTACGGGAATGAACATAATTCCCAGTGTTGAAATAAAAAGAGAGCTGTTTGGACTAAGCGTGTGATTAATTACAGTCTCAAGAAGCCTTGTTCAGAACAGGTTGTAAGTACGATGACCAGGCAAAGGTCACTTTTTCAGTGCTGTTGTAACTCCAAATGTTTGCTAAACGAATGGCTGTAAGTCAAGGACTACCTGTAGCACCGATGGCCTCAAAGAAAATCTTTCTGGAAAGAGTTATATAAGTATTTTTGTTTTGTTTTTCTTTTTTTCTACCACCAGAGAGCACTGCTATAGTTTCAGATGTTCACCTAAACCTTGTGAGAGACAACTTGGCCAAGAAGTGGAAACACTGCGCTCGTAAACTGGGCTTTAGTGACCCGGAGCTGGACGAAATTGACCACGATTATGAACGGGATGGGCTCAAAGAAAAAGTTTACCAGATGTTCCAGAGGTGGCTGATGAAGGAAGGCAGCAAAGGGGCAACGGTGGGGAAGCTGGCCAGAGCCCTTTTTGCTTGCGGTCGGAGAGATCTCCTCAATAGTTTTATCAAAATAAGCCAGGATTCTGTTAGAAATAACAGATAAGAAGTCAAACAAGCAGCTGGAAGACTGGCTGGGTTGGACATTTTTTCCAGAGGACATTTTTGTATTGCCACAAGAAGTTGTTGGTCAGGCCAAATGCTACTCTACACAAGCAGAGTAAGGAATGGGAGATAAAAGAGCAAATGATGGTCAATCTCAAGGGACGTTTTCATAGCATTCCCTAAAAAAAGAAAAGAAAACGCTACAAACATAACAATGCTTTTCAGCGGAGACAGACAAAACATTTTGAGTGTTTTGCTCTGTGCACTGAACAAAATGGCTGTTTTGTTCTGGACACGGACCACAACATGGTTCTCCCACAGCTAAGGGAGAGCAGCAGCAGTGGCTGAGCAGTGGGAGAGAGGGAAGGCTGCAGAGCAGCTGGACAAGATTTTGGTATATACCACGCCGGGCCTTTAGCAGCAATGGTGGTGGCTGAGGAGAAGGATGAGGGAGGGAAAGTAAAGCACTGGTGGGGCTAGCCTCTGAGATTTGATCATGGAATTTGATCTGGGAATTGATCATGGAAATGGGAAGTGATACCCACTAACTTAGCCCCGTTTGCCTGTCTGGATTTGTTTCATCTAAATGCAAGACAAAGTATTCTGGGCCTGGCTTCTCTCAAACCATAACTGGCCTGAAATGGCTCATTAGAACTTCTGAAGGGCTCTGGGCTTTTTTTTTTCTAGGTATAAAATGCAACATTTTTCCCTATTTCATGCATATCTCTCCCTGTTTTATAATATGTCACATTTTGAATGAATTTGTACAATTTTAATTTTTTAAATAGAGAAAATGGGCATAAGGCTGCTTTCCTAATCTACAAGAATCTCTTCTCAAAAATAAAACTGGATTATCGTTCTCCTTCATTATGTAAAACAGAGGTCTCCAAACTTGGCAACTTTAAGACTTGTGGACTTTGAACTCTTTGCTGGCTGGAGAATTCTGGGAGTTGACGTCCACAAGTCTTAAACTTGCCAAGTTTGGAGACCTCTGATGTAAAACATGCTACTGCTATGAGTAAACTATGAATCTTAACAAACTAGCAGTATAACAGTTTGACAAGGGCTGATCAGCAGCAGCTTCAGCAACCATCTTAGCAAGAACGAACAATGTAGGGTCACCTCCTTCACCCACCCACACAGACAGGCAAAAGATTTCCAGAATATAAACTGACAGCAAACAGCACTCCTTACTACGGTATCACTGATGATGTTACCTAGTTAGGGAAATAAAACTTCTGCAAGAAAACAAGCAACCTCAGAGAGCACTTGAGTTGCCATGTGCGAATAGGCTGCAATATAAATCTAAACAAATAAATAAATCAGCATTAACAATCGTTGCAGCATCCACATGATCAAAATTCAGCTGCTTGGCAATGGGATCATACTTATGACCCTTGCTGTGTCCCAAGGCCACATAATCATCTTTTGCAACCTTCTGACAAACAAAGTCAATGGAGAAGCCAGGTTCACTTAAATCACTAGGTTACTAGCTTATCAACTGCTATTCACTTAATGACTATGGCAAGAAAAGTCATAAAATGGCCAAAGCTCAGTTAACAAATGTTTCACTTAAACAGTTGGGCTCCATTGTGGTTGTAAGTTGAGGGCTCCCTGTATTTTGTGGAGTTTTTCAGTTGTAAGCTGCCAAGAGTATCCTGTGTGTGAGTGTTGGGCGGCCTTATAAATTTGTTTAATAAACCCAACAAACTAGTAAACCCAGCAAACAATTGTTGGAAGAAAAATCCAGGTCGTTCCAAGCCAGGAGAATAAAACAAACTGGAAATAAAATGGAGGCTGATTGGAAAGAAAAATTCCCTTTATTGATGAAGCATAACAGATAACAGATAATCAGAGTTGGAAGGGACCTTGTAGGTCATCTAGACCAAGCCATTTCTGACAAATGACAATCCAATCTCTTCTTGAAAGTCTCAAGTGATGATGCTCCCACAACTTCTGAAGGCATGCTGTTCCGTTGGTTGATTATTCTCACTGTCAGAAAGTTTCTCCTTATTTCCAGGTTAAATCTCTCCTTGTTGTTTCCATCCATTATTCCTTGTTCAGATTACAGGTGCTTTAGAAAATAGCTTGACCCCTTCCTCTCTGTGGCAGCCCCATAGACCACGTGATTCTGGGACAGCTGACAAAATGGGAGTTTAGAGTGGGTGAGTTTTATCTTATGGATTAGTATGAGGTCATGTAGTGCAGGGGTCCCCAACCACCGGTCCACGGACCGGTACCAGTCCGTGGGTCATTTGGGACCGGGCCACCTACTTTGCTTCGGCACCATCTTGTTCCAACGTGTTGGATCGAGCGCTGGTTTTGACGCCGTCCCTCAGCCTCGCTTGGCCAAAAACGTCAACTCCACGCCATGCATGGCTAGAGAAAAGGGAAACGTGGTAGCTGTGGAGAAGCTGCTCTCCCTAAGAAGGAGGCTCCTGATTCGCCGGGCTTACGCCAGGAGTTCTGCAAGGCTCTGGTGAAGGGAGGCTACGCTGCTGCCGATTAAATCGATCCCAGCCTGCATGAACTCCCTCGCCCTCTTTGGAAGCGGCCGGCGACCTGGTCAAGGCTCACGAGAAGCTCTTCTTCAATCGCCTCACCGACACGTGGCTACAGGCCACTTAGGTGAGCGGCAGGAAATGGGAGCTGGGCAGCCACAGACCAGCCGTCTCTCCGTCTGATGGCCTCGGCCGAATCTCTGCCTCCCAGCGCGCTTGGTCCTCCGCCCGCAGGCTTCCCTGGCCCCTTGCCAAGCGGGTTTTCCACCCCAGCCCAGCAGGGCCCTCGCTGCCTTCCCCTCGCCTGGCCAGCCGGGCTCCTTGGGCAACCCGGCTGCCTCGTGCCAAGAAGCGCGCTGCCAGGCGGGGGCCACGCGGCGCAGGGCAACACGCCACCGCCCGGCCCTGGCGAGGGAAAGCAGCGGGCGCTCCCTGGGCGGCGGCCTCGGCCCCGCCACCAGGGAAGCGGCTGCCCAGCTCTGGAGCTGATCCACACCTGACCGGCTGGAAAGGAAGGGTGTGTAGCGTTGGTGTTGTGTGTGATTTCTTGGCGCGCAGTGCGGGGTCTCTTGGCCGGTCCCAATTTTTTTTCAGAGGGGAATATCATGCCTGTATTAACCATGATTATTAAATCCAATCCAACTTTGATTATGATTAAATTAAGTCATAACTAGCTTTTCAATGAGTGGAATATATCAGGGGTCCTCAACCACCGGGCCGCGGACCGGTACCGGGCCGTGGAGCACTCTCTACTGGGCCGCAAAGAATGTTTTTTTTAAAAAATGGCGGCTTTCTTCACCTTCGGTGAATGCTGCTGGGATCGGGGATCAAGGACACAAATGAAAGAAGGGGAGGGAGGAAGCAACCGAAGCCTGTCCTTCTCTCTGGGTCAGCTCTCTCAGTCGCTCTCTCGCTCCTCCACCAGCACGGGAAGAAACTGCTTCAAAGAAGCGGGGGGGGGGGGTGTGTGGCTTTTCCTGTCACCGCAACTTCCCCAAAGCGCCCGTTTCTCCCCCACCCCCACCCCGTCCGCCCGCCCGCGGGGTTCAACCCAGTGCTCCGTTCTGCCTGCCTGCCTGCCTTCGTTAATGGTTGAATCGGAACAGCTTCGGCTGAGTAAAAGAGGCGAATAGTTATTATTCTCAGCCGAAGCTGCTCCCAAACAACCAGAAACTAAGGCAGGCAGGCAGGCAGGCAGAACGGGACACTGGATTGGCGCGCGCGGGCGGGGTGGGAGTGGGGGTGAAACGGGCGCTTCGGAATAGCTGCGGCGACAGGAAAAGC